CGCTTCACAGTTGGGGCGTCTCCGAAGCGTGACACATTCAACTGACGTCTCTGGGTACCGTGGGGTGTTCTTGGGTTGAAACAGCATCTCCAATCAACTACATTGATGTTCAACTTCCTCGAGACAAGTTGAAATAATACTGGTTTGGAAGAGGAGGAGAGATATTTGAGTTGAGTTGCAAATGATGGTGGATACAGTCATGTCGGAACTGGGTAGTGAATCGGGGCACATCATTTACAACCTGATACGTCTCCCCATCATAAATTGGGTTGTGGTTGTCCTCATTTAAAATGCTAGAGGTATAGAGTTCGAAGGATTAGTAAAAATCATCACGAGAATTTATGTTGCGCCAAGGGTGGAAGTGGGAATGACTACAGGTACATGGGTTTATACTCAAAATGGTTGTACGGATTATGAATAAGTAATTCCCCTGTGGTCGTGGCTTACACGACGTGGGCACCCAGATGCGGTGAGTTCGTGACACAGGTGTGAAACTCGCCTCACTCCTCTTGTGCAAATTCACAAGACGTCTGTCTTATACAGCCTAGCTGTCACCTAGCACGTAGATATCATGCCATGCTGTGGTATTTGTTCTCCGTGGAAATGGGTAGGAGAAGGAGAAGAGAAGGGAGCAATAATGAGGGTGTTTTGCTCTGAAACACTGACACCTCACACAACCAGCTAAGAACAGATGTAGGTGTGGGTCATGTTCTCCCATCTCTCAGGTAGAGGTTTGAGGAGAAGAATGAACAGAGAGGCAAGTAGGTGCTTTGCTTGCATTTTACAATCCTTCCATTTGCACAGATGTTGTAATACACTAGCGGTTCCTCTTACAAACCACTCAGGCTAGTGGTGATTTCGCACGTTGCCAGTCAGCAGTAGCTGTGATTACAAGACAGACGTGGGTTCACTGGGACGGTTAACGCTCATCTGCTCGGACATCACAATGTTGCAGTTGCATCCACACTCATTGCGGAGGCAGGTCAGGAATGCCACGCTCGTGACCATTATTGTGAGGCAATTTGAGAAGGCGTAATAGCTAGAGAAATCAATGCACGTGGAAGATACAATCAACCTCATCATGACAATGACGAGTCACTCACTAGATGCACCATTTCTGAAGAGGACTCGCCTTATTCGATGATGATGAGGAGTGACACTACCTAATGATCCACTGTGTCAAGAACATCGTTTGGTAGGGTTCAGCACAAGGCGTGAAACACTTCTCTGCATCCAACATCAACATGAAAGTCGCGTAGCTAAATGGGCACATTTCACTTCTTTACTTACCCGCAAAATATGCAAGTGCGCCCATTCGGATCGTCTGCTGAGTGAATTGTGGTGAAAAGCGATTTGGCTTTCCGACAATAAGCAAAAAGCCTATCATTTCATTCTCAAAAGTCGACATTGTTTCCAAATCTCATCTTCCTGCTCAGAAGTGGCGGGCTCCAGTGATAGATGCAACGGCTCCCTTTACAGCGTCAGTTGTTAACACAAAAACTACAAAGTGCATTTCAGGCATGACTGAAAGATCTCAGAGCCAAATCAAGAATGTAACAAGGTGTGTGTTAAAACGATCTGTCTCCGAACCAAGCACTGTTCACGCCCTATCGCTGTACCCAATCTGGAACATTCAACCTGCTTGCTGCAGTGCACCTCAGTAACTGTGGCAAGAGAGTGGAAGAGGACCAGAGGGTCAGCAGTTGGGCACTTCTACTACACAATACCACATGTGATGCCATTACAGTGGGATGCACTTCTAAACGTGGTAATGAGGCATCACTGGTTGATATTTGCAGCCACCAAATGAGGTTACGTGGGGATTCCTGACTTCGCTAGCATCTGAAATATCCAGCGCATCCGAATACCAAATGGATTAGTTGAGGTGAGCAAGTACCCGCGAAATTTCAGATCAAAATAAGTAATTATACGGTTTAAGTCCCACCGACATGACTCATTGTTGGAGTAACCAGGATATAGTAAGCGGGGTGCGGCCTGTCTATCCCCGTTGTTGCAGCTTAAGAGAGAGAACATTAG